GGCGTTCTTTTTCGATAGACAAACTTCCAATGCTAAGTTTCATCTGGTTTTCAATGTTCGTTTTTAGTTTTATAACGATCTTACGCCACTTCTTCTACGACTTCAACAAAAGGTGTCCGACTTTTGCTTTGCACGAAAGACAGAGAAGGACGATCTGATGAAAGACTTGCAGCTGAACATCGTAGGTCAAGCAACTTCTCAGCCACCAACGACTCCCAAATACCAAGGTTAGTCCTTTGTCTGAGAAATGATTTTTGACACAATGGGAATTATTGCCCTCCTCTGAGAAAGGTACCTCGCATTCCTGAATCCGTTCCGGCGGAAGTCATGTGTTCCAGAAGCTACCAGGAAATCATCATGGCGGCTGCCCATGAAATGAGGGAACAGAATTGAAGTTCGTAACCACTGGGATGCTCGTCTCCCGCACATTTTACGATTGGCACCGTTTACGGTACCGTAACTTCGGTAAGCTTATCGTGACGTGGATCTCTGTTTCGATTCCATCACCTAGTAGTGCCACTTTTTTGTTTGCATTATCTGAAGCTAGGTGATCGCTCTCTCCTTTTGTCTCCTAATTTCTTCACGTGGACAGGTATTCATTTTTCTGTCGCGGACGGATCAAATTGGAGTCACCCAACAGGAGTAGTTTGATCTTCATGTGCATAACGAATTTAGCACATTAAGAACTCGAGATCGGTAAACTTTTCTATAAACAGGAAAATTCAGTTCAGTAGTGAAATACTGAACTTCCTCATTGTAATGTGGAAATCACACATTATTTGGGAATCGAGTTGAAACACCAGCTTGCAGGTCGGTAGTCAGGAAGGTCAACTTACGTAGGAAGAATCCAGTGACAGTTTAATTATTATGCTTCTCTAAACTGCTGCTCTAACCCGCTTAAATGGTCCATGAAACATATGGGAAAATGGCGCTGAGATATCTGGTTTGAGGAGTTTTATACATGTAGTGTACGGAAATAGATTTTTCGGTTTAAATTTTTTATTAATTATTCATGAACATTGATGTAATCAAGTGCGATGAGCATGCCTCTTATTATTATTCTATAAATTAGGCTGCCTCCGAATAAGTTTTATATTCCGTTCGAAATACCTCTGAGTCCTTCGTGGTGTTTTCATCTTTAGGTCCTAACTGATCCATAATCTTACGTACTGTTGAAAAACATATTTCTGCCAACATTTAAAACCGTTTTTACTTTAAACTAGCAGTTATCTCATTGACTTCGGACACGTCTTTTGTGGTTGAGCACAGCATCTGTTTTATTCCCTTTTCCCTTTCTGTCCTGTAAAATAATTTCATCCGTCCTGTTTCGCCTCAGCACAGTGACCTGGTAAAGTTTACATCGTTCGATGAAAGCTAGTTCGCATTTTAGGTCTTGCTGACATTGTGAGGTATTCTGTGCAGGACTCTCGTAAGTTTTCCATTGACCGAATTTCAGCATCGTTGGTCATTCAAATCACTGCAGCCGTCTAAGATATTGCAAAGAATGTTCTAAAAGGTTCTTTTGACAATGTTTTAAACGAAACGCTTGTTTCATGCGGGTGGTACATAATCTGCTATCCGCTGCTGTGCGTCAGGATTTCAACTATATACGCCTGAACAAAGATCTCGAGGTTCTATGTATTACCATATATGATCTGATTTCGCTGAGAGCCAGAAAATTCTAAAATTTCCTTGTGATTTAGCTTAGCCGTTGACAGCTAAAAAACGATGCTGCAAATATGTATTGCAGGTTTTTCCATCCGTTTTTCGCGACCTGTTTTAATACAGTGACATTTCCAGTTTCCCTATGTTTTACTGCTCTGCGGTTTGCAAATTTCCGAAAGCAAAGGTCATTTTACCGACAACTTTTAAAACTGACTTTGGATTTGCGGGCAACCACTTGCTTGGCGTTTCGAAATATATTACATGCCTGTTTGTTTATATACAAAGTAATACAGAAGATCTATCGAGTTAAAGTCGAACATGAACTTTTCGACCTGTATCTCACAGACCTTCTTCAACGCAGGGTTGGTGATTGTTTGTTTTCTACTCAGTCGTTATATGCGGCAGGTGATTCGTGTGGAACCAGAAATTCAGCTCCCTGTGCTGCTACTTTAGTAATTTAGTGGCTAAATGCGAAACCTGACTCGTCCATTCCGTCCAGATTTCGTATTCATTTTCATGGTTTACACTGTTCGCCGGACCTAGCCTTTTCTTTCCGGTTCCACGAGAAGCAGCTGCCGCAGACAACTGCTTTGTTGTCAGCTGACAAACAGCATTCTTGCATTGAAGATGGCTGTGTGATACGGCTGGGACATCGGTGTTAGTGTATCGCCTGAGAGACCATCTGTATTACGTTGCGTATAAATAAACCGTTTCGTGTTGTATTTCAGTATGCCTCCCAGCGCGTGATCAAAATACTCATAGCTTAAAATGTGTTTAACCTCTCGATCTCTAGGGCTATTTTAAAAGACCGAGGCTCTATTGCGTTATAACACCACAGCTGTACATGCAGCCATGGCCTGGTTTAAGGGCCCGGAGTTTCTAAAAGTAAACAGGTGGTGCAAAGTAATTTATTACGAAGTTTCTTGCATGAAGCCCATTTTGTGAGGGTAGTGTGAGCTACATCTTTTGACAGGGTGGTGAAATGCTGTTTAATTCGTTCTTAAGATGTTATGTCTATGCTTGCAAATTCTAGCGAGCCATGATAGTCACCATTTACTTCTTCGTATGTTCTTGTGTTTAGAGCAGAAAGAACCGCAGGAAAACGTGAAAACCCTCTCCTATATTCCGCCTCGGCCACCACCTCCACGTTTTGGCGCCACGGAGCAGCCAAAGATTATTTATTACCAAGGCAGTGCCCCTCTGGCTCAGTTAGCAAATGGTAATTTTTCCGTCTGATGTGCTTCTGCGCGCTTTCGAATTTGTCCGCTTAAGATCTCTGCCCAAAAGCATACGCAACCGTTACTGATTTCGAACTCTCTCCCGGTTGTTAAATGGTGAAACCACATGCAGAATGAAAACAAACGTCATCTGGTGCTTTACTGTATTTTGTTTTTCTTTTTGTTCTGTCATGTTTGCAGTTTCCGTCCGTCAGTTCGGTAAACTAAAATTTGATTCATAGATGATACCACGCCTTGTTCCACGATACCTAAAATTCTGTTTTTCTTCTGTTTTTGTTTGTATATGCCTTTTGAGTTTTTTCTCAGCGCATCACTACGATCTTTAAGGTTCCACATAGTGGGCGTGAAATTTGCAAAACGTACTTTAGCATACGTTTCCATGTTTGTGGTTTCTATTTAACTGTAACCGCTCGTTTTTATATGTGCTACCTGTTCAAAGCATTTGTTTATTATCAGGCAACCACTTCTCTTGTTTCTAGCGGTCCCACAAACGACGCAGCAAGTCTGTACTGTCCCGCAGGGCCAGTCACCCAGCGCGCCGCAGTGTTTCATCCAGCAGTACACGCCGTATCCTTTCGGTAAGCATTTATTTATCGGCATAGTTAAGTCTCGCATTATAGATATCTATTTTAAGTCATCGATAACTCGAATACATTATAACCAGGTCTTAATCTTAACTCAAGGACTTTTATCACTGGATATTTTACATGGCATTTAGATAATCATGTCTGTCGTTGCTCAATTTGTTGTTGTTTTGTTGGGTTTAGTGTAAGCAGTCACTTTTGGTTTGATGTAGCTCTGCGTAAAACTAACGATGTAACTAATAACTAACTAATTAATGGTCGAAATCTTTTTTCTGTCCCTTCGTTGTACAAGAGTTCCACATGGTACACATGTATATTAAATGTTCTCTTTTCCGACCTAACATATGCAGAGTATTTATCCACAGGGATTTGGAGTGCATAAATAATAAATATAAATAATACAGTAAATATCTTTAGTAATGTCTTCATATATTTATTGTATTTAAAATAAATCATCACCTTGGCAGCGCCTGACTATTCTATCCATGTACAACACAAACAGGATAGGGGACAGGACGCAG